CTTGTCATTATTGTACATGGTTGTTCTCAATGGTTTTGGCAGACAAAAAAAAACAACCAAAAAAACCAAAAAAAACGGCCCCAAGCAGCTGGGATGTTAGCTCAGTAGAAGTAAAAATTATGGCTGCTTATTTTTCCAGCTTCTTGGGGAGTTGTGTGGTATTTGTGCAACACCTGATGTTTTATCAAAGCACTGTGACGCATGCTTTGATAATCTGGTACTGTACATTTTTATGTCATTAATAGTGTTAGGAGGTGTGAACATTTCTGTTCTACCAGTCTCACTGAAGTCTTTCTAACTCAATGTAAGCTTATAATATTTTACAGGCATATTGTTGAGTAAATATATAGGTATGACTTTTGTACAAACATTCAATAAATATTCATGTTATTATTGCCCAACAACTCGCTTATTACAATTTTATAACATATCATATTTGCATCACCTTATGTTAATGTATTTACTTTTCAGTTGGGAACATTTTGTGCTAAGAATACATAGATGTCTCTAAAAATATACAAACTAACACAAACAGCACAGCCTTCACAGTACTTAATCACAATCACAGTTTGTTTGTTTTTTGTCAGAGGTAGCAAATGGTCAATACTTGAAACTAAAAAATTATGATGCATGCTCAGAAAACTTGAGAGTCAATGTGACATTTGATTCCTGATGGCTGTGGGGATTGCTTTTGGGTAAGACCAACGCACTTCTTTGCAGATAGGCAAAAGGGGTGGTGACTCCCCCTCCTCACAGTCACAGTTGTACGCCCTGGCGACGGAATCCGAAGAACCCTCTCCTATACCTTCCGTAAAGCCCCGTCCTTGTCGCACGCATCGAGCAGCGCCCCTTGAGGCTTGGACGAGCTTGGACTTTCGTCCAAGCTTGAGGTCTCTCGGAATCAGTCGGCCCAGGTCCGCTTACTGTCGGTCGCTGCGCTGGTTCCTCATTCGGCGTCGATACGAGAGCCTGGGCGGCTGTTGAGCGAGCCGCCGAGGAACAAGTGCATGTGGCGCTGCTTCTCGGTGGGCAGCGAGGCGACGTGCGCGCAGAGGCCGCCGCCCGCCAGCCCGCCCAGTCCGAGGCCGGGGCCAGCTTCCCGTTGGCGACGGCCCCGCTCCCGGCGCTCGGCCACAAGGTGGTAGGCCCTGCGCACGAGGTAGCGGGGAATGCGGCGCTCGCGAGGGTCGTTGGGCCGGATGAAGATGGCGCACGAGCGGTGCGAGGACAGCAGCAGCGCGGAGCGGTGGCACACGGCCAGCAGCTTGGCGGGCAGGCAGCGCAGCAGGCGCGAGAACAGCATGCTCTCCAGGTGCGCCACCAGCTCAGCTTGTCGGACCAGCCTGTCCAGTCCTAAGCCACGGGCACATAATTTAGTTTCGACATTACATAGAGCTAAATTGCTCAGAGGTGTCTTTACTCGTTTTTGCCGCGGCCCGCAAGCTTTCTCCTGTCTTTACTTACCCGCTGATTTCTGGAGCCCCTGGATGTCGCTGACGGCGAGCCCGACCAGTAGGTTGGTGAGGATCACGGTGACGAGGACAACGAACATCAGGAAGAGGAAGTGGGCCGTGTAGGGGAACTGGATGGACTCGCTGGGCTTGGCGTTGTAGAACATGTCCTCAAACTCGAGCTCGCCCGACATCATGACGACCGTCTTGAGCAGCGACAGAGGCACGTTTCCGAACGGGGGATAGTTGGCGAACAGCACGGCGAAGCTGAGCCCGAAGGCGAACAGCAGGCAGCAGTAGGCGAGCAGGAACTTGGAGAAGTTGACAGCGACGGTGGTGAACATCTGGACGTACAAGCCGAAGGTCGGGAAGCGGCCGACGATCATCATGAGCTCTAGCCAGGTGAGGAAGATGCCGAGCGCTGCGATGTGGTGCTGCCAGGACGACACCTGCGGACAGTCACGTTCACGTGTAAGCTCGGTATGCGCCCGCGCCCGCTGCCACCCCCTGCTGCGCTGCCCCTTGCTGCCCCCTCGAGCTCCGGGAGAGCAAAAGCCATTATTCTTTCCGAGTCCTTTCACTGCGCTTTTATTATCAGCCGCGGCGGCACAGCGCACTTGACGGCGTGCCCGAGAGGATTCACTTGGTCCGCTGTAAAGCGGGAAGAGGAAGAGCGTGGAGGAGAGGAGTCGGCGTCCGATTTACACTTACCCGACCGGAGGGAACATCGCACAGAAAGACGGAGGCGACGATGAGCAGCTGCAGCCAGTTCTCCCAGTGACGGACGTAGGCGCGCCAGCCGTGGGCGAGCTGGAACACCTCCTTGCTCACGAGGAGCGTGTTGAGCGCCAGGAGGGCGTACCTGCTCAGAGCACAGCACACGGCGGCGGCGTCAAGGAGGGAATACTGTACCGCATGCAGCGGGGCGGCGGGGCTGCCTATTCGCACGGGGCCCCGGGTCGCCGAGAGCCAGAGTGAGCAGGCAAAACATTCCCACGAGTACTACACCTAGGAGTAGTAGAGCGAGCTGCATACACCACTACCTAGATGCAGCCCGCTCTACTCAGGTATATCCGCGGAAATATTGTTCCTGTTTCCTTTGGCAACACGGCTAGTAGTGGTGAAGCCCGCCCAAACATCTGCATGCAGCACAGGATCCTCTCGCAAAAAGTGCACGGTGCACAACGTGTTATGGCTGCAGGCAATGACCGTCTGCGACACCTGGCACCCACCCCACCGTTAACCCACCCTCCCCCACTCACCCAGACACGGTGGTGGCCATGGGTATCTGGCACATGTATCTGACAGGCTGTGCGTCGTCACAGTTCCGGGGGTAGACGCCGATGACGTACACGGAGAAGAGCACGACGAACACGGCGTGGAACAGCAGCGACAGCAGGAAGAACTTCCTGATGCGTCGCCATTTGAGGAAGAGGAACGTCTCGCACAGCGGGTGCTGCAGGATGGTGCGCTGGCCCACGTCGATGAGGTCGAGGAGCAGGACGCTCTCGCCGCGCTCCGCGTTGGGCACGAGGATGCGGAAGTCCATCTGACGGGCAGGACAGACAGAGAGGCGATGCGAGGAGAGGTTCACAACACAAAGCCACTACTACTACTGTGCGCCTCCTCCTCGGGCCGCGCGCGCGCGCACGCACCTTGAGCTCGCAGTCCACGTCGCCGATCTCGTGGTCGTGCAGGCGCACGGCGCGGTCCAGGCGCTGCACGAACTTGGGCACCACGTCGGGCGTGCGGCGCACGATGAAGGACAGCACCGACACGTTGCCCCGCGTGCGCGCCGTCACGTCGCCACCGTGCGCGAGCAGCAGCAGCACGTAGTTGGAGAACTCGTTGAGGGCGGCCATGTGCAGCGGCGTGTAGCCGAAGCTGTCGGCCTGGTTCACCGCTGCGCCCGCCTGGACCGGGAGTACCGGAAGTGCCGGAAGTGTGAGGCCAAAGTCGGGTCGGGGAGGGCGGACGGAGTGAGGCGTCACATCGACTTTGACGATAGCCGCAAGTAGGATGTGCTGACATTTTGATGTATTATTTCTCACAGACACTGCCCCCCCTCCCCAGGGCCAAGTGGCCACTACTCTCCGCGACCTCTCGGCTCGAAGGCAGCATTAACACCCCAGCCCCCTCCCTCCATTCCCCTCTCGTGCGCTGTTGCGGTGTCCACTCGCGTGCACCTCCAGCACGCCGTGCGGTTGGAGCAGGCCGCCAGCTGCAGACCCGTTTCGTAAGCGTCCGGCACAAAGCGGCTCTCCATGATGGCGCTCTTACGTAACAGGGCATAAAGAGGG